TAACTTTTTCAAAAATGAACATATCAATATAATTTTTTTTTATATAGATGCTTGATGTCTTTACTTATCATTTGATATTTTTTTTTTGTAAATCTGACACTTAACCTGCCCACAGGGGGGGGATTTAAAATGACAACTTTTTCACAACAAATTTACTTTTTCAACATAACTTTTGAAAATGTTCCGGAANACTTTTTTTTATAGAGATGCTTGATGTCTTTACTTATCATTTGATATTTTTTTTTTGTAAATCTGTCACTTAACCTGCCCACAGGAGGGGATTTAAAATGACAACTTTTTCACAACAAATTTACTTTTTCAACATAACTTTTGAAAATGTTCCGGAAGGTCTGACACTTTTATATATATCTTAAATTAAAGCTAATGTAATATACTTTAATTTTAAAAAAAAAAATTTGACCTCTGGACTTGTCTTCACGGCGAAAATGGCTACCGAATGCTATTTTCGTGTGAAAATTCTCGATTTTATTATTTATTTAATTTTTAACTTTATAATGCTATAACTTATTGAAAAGTTTATGGATCCACACAATTTTTTTATGAGAAATAATATTTTTTAATAAACCCTTTTTCATTCGACATACTTTATCTTAATCGAGATATTAATAAGGAACCAGCAGAACATGTAGCTTTTGGAATAATCCACCCAATTTTTTAAAATTAAACACTATCTAAAGATTTGCATCGAAGCGTTTATTTTTGATAGTGATTTTAATCACTGTCAGATATCATTNATTCTGCGGATTTTTGTTTATAATCAATATTTTTTGAATCGGGCAAAAAAATGGGCACCAATTTAATTTTCAATTCAGCTAGTGTTTTTTTTATAATTATGCTTAAATAGTTATGACTGATACGAAAAGCGAATGCTAATGATCTCAATGATTCACCAGTGGCAAGATACCTATTTAAAAAGAATTCAAACTTAATTACTACCGTAAATACTGTTAATACGCCACTGGTAGGTATAGATACAATTTATAAAATATTAAATTAATTATAAATACCTTAAAGTAACTGTTAATTTTTCTGCTGGCGATATAGGATTTTTAACTCGATTGTTAGGTGGTAAAGTTAATTTTTCTTCCACCAAAGATAGTAAAAAATAGTTCATAATTAATTCGGAAATATTCCCGAAACCTAACGTGATTGCTTGTTAAATATCGATTAATTAATATTTCAAAAATTCCTTCACTTTCGTGATTTTTAAAGATATTGTCCGTTGTTTTTCTTTTCTTTGGCGTTAAATAAGATAATAATCTAGCCTCATCGTCATACTCATCCATTAAGAGGAGACTTAAAATATTATTATTATTAAAAATAAATCTATCCATTGTATAAGATTTTTTTTAGAATATTTGCGTAATGCGTACTTGAAGAGATATTAAACTGGAATGACAATATAACTGTTTGTGAAAACAGGCCGAAAATAATAATTTAATCATCGCGACATGTCGCGGTCGTTACTTGAAGACCACAACAGACGCGATGACAGTTCATGATCGCCGGTCGTGGTGACCAGTCGTCGCGATACGTCGCGCCTGGCAGTCCGTACCTTAAATTAACTACAAAACGACCGTCGTCGCCGCGACGTACAGTGCGATCAAATAATATTTCTCGGTTTATATATATATAAATATATTGTTGATAAGGCGCTGTAAACGTATTGTATTTGGGTTTTTTAGTCAGTTGTCAATTTTATCTCGTTCGATCGTCACTGCACTGTTGTAATAATCGTAAGCAATCATTATATTTTAATAAAATGAACCTTTGTGCAAATTATAAACAATTATCGTCTTTCGTTTAAATTTTTTATACTATCTTTAATACAGTTCACATCGAAGTCAAAACAAATACTTTGCATTGCTTTTCTTCTAACGTGTGTGTAATTCTATTATCGAATTCTTTTACTCGCCAAAATCGCGTAAGTAAATCGTCTAGAGGCTCGACTTCACAATTTGTACAATTTACTACAAATGAATTAGATTGCTGTAACACTAGTCCAGACATTACCCAACCGAACCGCGTTTTTTGGAATAAGGGTCCCGAACTGTTTGGTTTTATCTTTTCAGCGCATAATATGTCGTAAAAATGCTGAGCGCCTGTTAGCATATCTATTTTTTGCGGGAACATAAACGATGGATCAGCAAGTGTCAGATCATCAGGTGGTTGTACACAGCTATTCTTAATAAATGAGGACGGAATATTTTTTGATATATTTTTAACACGCTTATATTAGTTTCACATGTATGTGTGTTGTGTGATGTGTGATGTGTGTTTGTAACTTTCCAAACGGCACGTGTTATTATTTTCGCGTACCTGTCGTCTATGACCTTGAGACTAGACGTCGTAACGCATTCACCCCACCCCACTCACCACTCGTCGTTAACAATATTTTCCTGTAAAATTTTATTTTTGGTTTTCGTACCCGTACATGCGTGCTTGTCATTAATTATATATATATACAAACAAATTTTTATTTTGACTGACCAATACCGCCGGCGTGTAATGCGCCTTACGTATATACAGGGTGTTCAGTAAGTCAGGAAACGGGTTTCTATTGTTCTCAATGTTACAAACAATGAGAACAATAGAAACCTGTTTCCTGACTTACTGAACATCTGTACATTTATATATTCCTACCGCCGCTGCCGCCGTTTATACCTTAGGTATAACGTTCCCCCCGCCCAACAAATAAGGCTATACCTAGTGCATGATAAGTTTACGTACTTAAGTCACTTTACATAAATATATATATATATATTCTAATTACTATTAAAAATATATATTAACACGCTTTATTCTCATTAAGAGATATAAAGTGTATTCCTTCCGATTACAAAGGATGATTCCCGTATCATTATTTTCCGTCACTACCTCAATGTTCCGGGAGTGGGTAATTTACGCGCCTGCTGCTTTCCTTGGATGTGGTAGCCGTTTCTCAGACTACCTCCCTGGAACGAACACTGATTTCCCGTTACTTATTACAACCATGATATTGATAGTAGTTATTATCGAGGTGGACATGATGGCCATGCACTCAGACTTGTTGGTCCATTGTGCGCATGATATTGATAGTAACTATTATGATAACATGAAACTAAAAAGTGCAAAATAAATATAGTTTAAAAAAACTAAAAAAACACGCTTTTAAAGCACATCGAACTAAAAAGTTAAAAATAATTTTTAAAATAAGCTTAAAACAATAATAAACGATAAATACTAATATTATTGTAATAAAAGTAATAAAATATTATTTTTATTTGTTCATTTTTGAAAAAGTTATGGCAGTTTTAAGTACAAAAAACATCCCGATAAAAGGTGATTTTTATCGCAAACATTACATTTTTTTTTAATTTTCGACAGCCATTTACGCATAGAAGATAAAGTGTCGGGACAAATTTGTTTTTTTCATTTTATAGTATATAACATAACCTTTGATTTGATATATGTTTAAATAACGCAGTATTTCCGGAACATTTTCAAAAATTAAGTTTAAAAAGTTAATTTTTGTAAAAAAGTTGCTATTTTAAATCCTCCCCAATGAGCAGGTTAAGTGATAGATTTTCAAATAAATGATATCAAATGAAAGGAAAATATCTAAGGTTTTAGTATAAAAAAAAATTATTTTGATTTATTGATTTTTGAAAAAGTTATGGAAGTTTTAAGAAAAAAAAGTGAAAAAAATGACAAAATTTACCGATTTTTTAA